TTTCTGCCCTTTTGCTAAACTCATGGCAATTTTGCACTGCCTTATTGTTGCACATAGATTGAGAATTGGTCTCTAATTATTGAGATGGACTCATTGTCTATTTTCAATAACTGCATCGGAGTGTCTAGCTGCATTTGATACAACATAATTAATTAGAGGAGAGTTCTTCATCTATTGTCTCATTTCAGCATAAGATGGTCACGCACACATTGAGAGACCAACAAATTAGCTAATCTTGTAGCCTAGTTATGAGCTTCTGCCACTATTACTTCAGTTGGATCCACCCTGATTAATGAACTCAAGCTTCTCATCCATGATGAAAACTTAGATTATCCTTTTTTTAGAACCTCATTATGATTGGTGATCCTTTTGAAATTGTTGATTGGTCATTAATAGATTTGCTTTTCAAACACACACACACACACACACACACACATACACATATATATAAAGCATAGATGCAATGCAACATAATATATATTATATTTGTATTACCCTAAAAATTAATTAATTTTAGAAGTCATGAATATCCTTTCTTTTGATTATAAAAATTTTATTATGTTAATTATGAAATCATAAATCTTTCTATATTTGTTAACGTCGGCGCCAAATTCCTATAAAAACAACTGAGAATATTTTTTAAAATCATTAATCCATGCCCCAAAAAAAAAATGATTGGCTCCCCTTTGCTGATGTGTTAGTTTCATTTATAATCAAGACAAAGCAATGGTTTATGAAATTTAACATATCTCTTTGTGAACTAATCTTTATAAGACTCAAATTATTTCAATCTTCTAATCAATGCATTTAAATGGTTCCATAACTCCTATTCCAAGTTATTGCATTACATCCTCATCTTCATCATTTTTTTTGAGGAAATGCGACGATCATGCCTAACTTTTATTAAAAGAAAAAAAGGATGACAAAGAAGCACAAAAGACAAAAATACAACAAGACACCAATACAACACAAATAAAAATCAATAATAAGAACAACAGAGAAGAAAACACCAAAGAGCACAACACAAAACAATGAACCAGCTTCATAAAGAAGATGGAATGCCTTCAAAAAGAAGATGAAATCCTCCAAGAAAGAACATCCCCATCAAGCATAGTAAGTCATAACCAGGTTCAAAAAACACCACATAAAGCATACTCTAAGAAAGAATTTCATAGCCAATTAGAAGATAGACCAAGATAGGCAATGGATCCAAAGGCCCGCAAATGACTTCCAAAGTCATCTAATAGGAGTCACGAATAACAATCAAGGAGAAGAGTTCAACAACAGGCAAGAAGAACATCAAATAGGAGTCGCGAAATCTACAAGAGATAGGCTAGATAACCCCATTTTGAAAAAAAAAAAAACCACAAAGAAGAATTGTGGTAGGAAATGAAAAAAGGAAAGAATTAATAAAACCACAAAGATAGAAGGGTGCAATCTATATTTTGAAGAAGTATAACAACCAAACTAAAAAATAAAATAAAACTCCAATTAGAAATTATGAAAAATTAAAATCAAAAGAATATTAAAATACAAAAATAGTTAAAATATAAATAAAAATAGGAAAAAAATGAGGAATAAACATGAAAAATGTGCTAAAAAACTAACCTAAAACGAAAATATTGCGATTCCTTCCAAATATTGTGAATATCTTAAATCATAAGATCATAAATATTCAAAATACAATTAAATTTTAATAAATGGCTCAAAAACATCATAACTCAACCTAAACACAATAAAGTGAAAAAGAAAAAAAGGGCAAGACTATTCAACACCCTCATTCAACCATAAAAATAAACAAACAACATCTAAGAAGTAGGTCCAACAGTAGATTATAAGAGCAACATCTAACCAGAGAAGCCAACACTACAAAAAAGGCTAGAACACCAATCTAAAAGGAAATGTTAAAATTCTTTCCAAATAATAAAAATATCTAAAATCATAAAATCATAAATATTCAAAACAACGTTAAATTTTAATAAATGTTTGGTAAACATCACAACTCATTCTAAACATAACAAAATAGAAAAGAATAAAAGCTGAACTGTTTTAACACAAAAAAGAAAAAAAATACAAAATAAAAGCAAAAAGGAAAAATAATCAAATGACATATAAATAATCCAACCCTAACATATCCAAATGGGACACAGCTAAGTCTAAAAATTCATAGGCCCACGCACAACAACCAAAAAACCAATAAGAGATATCAAGGGAACAAAGAGAAGACATCATAAAATGGAACAACAACCAATAAGATTATGTGAAGCAACGAACACTAATAAGCCGAATGCACAAAAGAATTTCGAGTATAACTTTTCAAAGCACTTTAATAATTTTCATCATGTTACAAATTGCAAAGAGCAGATCTCCCTTTACTTTGATGCTCTAAGCAGAATCCACAAAAGAAGTGAAACTATGACACTCCAATAATTTTAATACATACCTGCAATTTAACTTTTGAGAATTACCAAAACAGAAATAATAGGGGAATGATCAGAAGTTAAATGTTCCAATATCATAAAAAAAGAAATGAACCTCTTCATCCAAAGATCATTGCAAAAAACTTTATTCAAAAGAATTATTGTAGGAAAATATTTTTGTTTATTAAACCAACTAAGAAAATACCATTATAAGGAAGATCATTAAGCTTAGAATTAGAAGCGAAGTCACTAAAGTCAATGAGTTTATGGGGAATAGGAGAAGAACCACAACTTTTCTCTTTTAGTCTTTTAATATAATTAAAATCTCTCAAAACAATTTAAAATTTCTGAATATTATCCACTAAACAAGATATAAAGATTGTTAAATCTTTTCTATGAATAACACTATTATCCGCATGCACAAAAGTAATAATAAAATTAATAATTGAAGAAAAGAAAATAACACCATGAATAAATTGAGCATGAATATCCAAAATAATAAAATTTAAAATAAATGAATTTCATTTAATCTAAATTCTACTACAATAAATAAAATGAAAATTTTTAACACTCTTCTCAAAAGGGAATAAATTAAATTTATTAAAAAGAAAATAATCAGAAGTCGTAGCAATAAAAAATTTAGTTTCTAAAACATAAAGAAGATTCAGATTGATATTCTTATGATGTCTACAGTCAGAAAGATGAGCATTATTGTTAAGTCTCATAACATTCTAACTCATAAAATTTGGAAAGAACATAAAAAATAACCAAAAAAAAAAAATCCAAACTTAATGGGAAGAACCAACCTCTTTAGGCCTCTCTTTTCTAGGTTTGGGGATAAAAAATGAGGAGGAACCAACAACTTTAATAGGAGCAGAAACCCTAGAATAAGTTAAAGAAGAAAACATATTATCAAAATTATTATACCTTCTACAATTTCAAATCACAGTTGAACTCTCCAATTGTGAGTTTCAAATAGTAATATTAGAAATAATAGACAAACTAACCGAATAATCCATATTAGAATTGTCAGTAATATTTCTTATAGGTAAATTCTTAGGCTTAAGCATAATAGAGTTATCAGACACTGTAAAATCTTGATTAATACAATCACAATGCAAAGTAGGAGTAATATCATTAATACGAAGAATTTCATTATCTTCTTCCTTAAAATTTATATGATTTTCAGACATATTCATAGGAATATAAAGATCCAGTTGCACAATATTTGAAGTGTTATAAATAGATAAAAATAAAAGGAACTACTGCATTAGAAACTGATGCATTTGTTGGAGAACTATTCTTAATATTTTGATTTTGAAAAGAAGAAATGTTATAATTGTTCCTATTATTACCCCTCCAAGCTAGAATCACATCCATATGAGTAAGAGAAGCATTTCAAGGACTATCTCAAGATTATGACAGAAAGTAGAACATGATTTACAGTGATTAGGTTTCCATTCATAAATAAAATGCTAAAAAAATTTTTCCCTTTAAAATTTAGAGCAATAAATTCAGGAAAAGTAAACTCAATGTTGACTTGAATATTAACATGAACAAAATTTAATTTTGAACCTGTAGCTGTTAAAAAAATTAACAAGTGGTAAACCAAATTTATTGTTAATTTTTGAAATATCAGTCTCCGACCAATAACACAAAGGTTGATTTGACAAGCGGATCCAAATTGAAAAATCTTTAAAGTTTTATTCAATAGGCTTAAATTTAGGAGATTAGCATTCAAAGAAAAATGGTTTGCAACAAATAAACCAATGAACACCTGATAACATATCTAACTCCTTCATAAATTAATTTTGAAAAATAAATAAACCTCAATGAGAGACAAAAACTCTAAAGATCCTTTGAGTTTCCAAAGCTAATTGATCCCCTGCAAGAGATCGACCTAGAAATGTACTTACCAAGAGAGTATCTAACTAGAGTTATATTCCACTGTCTACATCCATCTTCAACCTCCTCATCCGTGAAAAAAAAAAAAAAAAACTTTATCTTCCAAACAGGAAAGATAAGTTAAATTAAAGAAGAGGAGTTTGAGATATGAGAACAACTTTAACATCTCCAATTCAAGGAAGGAGATGATCCCTAAAAAGATCTTGAAGAAGAGGGAAGAAGGGGAAAAGAATTTAAATACATGATATGCAAGGGACAAAATCCCTATAACCTACTAAACAATCAATAATAAAAAATAGGAAAAGAAAATCTAGATACTTCTTCCACGAGAAGAGGAAAAAAAGAGAAGAAACTCAAAAATTGCTGCAGCATGCTCCAAAAAACCCTAATACAACGACTCTCCATTTTAGGGCCTCAGGTTTGTCTTCTCCATCTCCCTCCATCATTTTCCACTTCGACTTAGCCCAGATCTTGTGGGAAGAAGGAAAGTGTCATTCTAGAATTCATCTTCGGCTCTAATCTCATAGAAAGAAGGTCAAAAAAAAAAAAAAAAAAGAGAGAAATAACTGAATAATAGAGTGATAAATTCATGGCATTGAAAGAATTTTGAGTGATATATAAATAAATTAAGATTTTTGGTGGTTAAATAATAAATAGCTAACGGCGCCACCATGCAAGTTTTCTTTGAATTTTCTTCCCCTAAACTCACTTGCAACCGGCGCATGCGCAAGTCTCGCATAGCATTAGGATTTCCATTCGCCGCTAAATACCGAAGTCTTCCATCAGTATTTGCTCTGTGAGGTCTCGCTCGAATGGAGAGGGAGCAACTCAGAGGCGTGGTGATCATCTCCCTCCCTCCTCCCGGCGATCCAAACAAGGGAAAGACCATAACCGCCTTCACCATCTCCGACAACCACGACCACCTCCAGCAGCAGCTGGGGGCGGCGACGACGGTATCGCCATCTGCGGCATCACAGTCGGCGGCGGCAGTTCAGACATCTCTCCTTCCTCTTAGGGCCAAGAGGGCCATTGCAGCAGTGCTCGGTCTCTCCCTTCTCCTTCTCTCCCTTTGGGCCTGCCTCTTTTCTGAACTCCCCGTACAGCTTCTCCAAGGGCAGGAGGAGGACGGACGCTCCCGCTACTCCTCTATCTTGCTTCCCCTCTATTCCAAGTCTAGAGCTCATGAAACTGCTGGCGGTGGAGGGCCTTCTCCTTCTCTGTTTGCCGGTGTGAAGCTGGCTAAGGTTTCTGTCACAAATTCATCGTCTGTGATTCCCATCCGAGGCAATCTTCTCCCCGATGGGTACTCGATGCATTTTATTTTCTTGTTCTTGTTATAAATCTTAAAAACTCTTAATAGACTTGCCCATGAATTATGGGAGCTTGTTTGCTTTTCGGGGTACTGAAGTAGATCCATGCGACTTAGAGGTGATTGCATCCAAAACCAAATGAAGTTGTGTTATCAAAAGCCAAATGGATGGATGTTATTAATATTTTCAGTTTTGCGGGAATGATTTTTCCAATTATATTGTAATTGGAGCTACCAGGTTGTTAATAGTCTGTAACCGTGTTACTAAAATCACTTCGCACATTATATTTTGTTGTTATTAAAAAATGCCAGCTTGTGGAGGTTATGGGGATTTCTATTTTTATTTTTATTTTTTGCATTAGGGTCTGTTAGAATGCAATCTTCCAACTTACAAGTAGGATTTAGTAAAACCTGGAATCTAAATTTTGTTAAGCTTGAAAGGGTTAAAACCTGAAAACTGTTTGAAATGAGAACTGTTAAATTCTTTTAAATACTGATAAATTGTTTGTCTATTTGTTTTAGGATTTAAAATTTTGGAGAGGGAGAAATCCTTGATCTTCTAAATTTCATGAAGAAACTTATTCAGGAAGTCCTGGATTTAATCAGTAATATAGTTGGAATCAGATTTATCAAATTAATATGACTCGGTCTCAAAAATTATGGCTAGTTTGATTAATGCTTAAATAATAACTAAAATAGGATGCCCAGTAACCACTCCTTAGTGACAACAAATTATATTACTTCGTTGCATGCTTAACTTGGTGCTAGAAGATACTCGTTTTTTTTTCTTTTATATATATATTCAGAAAGACTAATCATTGTTTCCAATCCTTGTATATGAGGAGCTAACATCTATTAAATACCATGCATACAACTTGAGAGTACCCTTTGCAGTGGTGATATTCTTTTTTATCCTAAAGAACTATGGGAGTTTACAAATTAATGACTTGTGCTTTTAATCAGCACTATTAGCAGATGGTCAATTAATGTATTGATCTTTAAGTTACTTTTCTAACCACAGTTTTATTTTCGACATTATTGCCAAAAATTTAGTTTGGCGTGATTTAAGCTAAAATTTGCTTAAATCCTACATAAAATAGGGTACAAACAAATCCTTAGTAAGAATTGAATTAGTTTACTTTGCTGTATGCTTAGCGTGATGTTAGAATATGCCCATTTTTTTATATACAGGGACTGATCTTCATTTTCATTCTTGTACATGAGGATTTATCATCTATCAAATAGTATGCTTAGAACTTAAGAGCAATCTTAGCGGCGGTGATATTCAATTTTTATTATGAATACTACGGGAGATTATGAACTTATGTGATTGATTGCCTCTCAAAACCTCCATAGTTAACCAATTAGGAAAGATGGGTAAGTAATTTATTGTTTTGCAGGCTTGTCAGCTAGCAGTGAAATTTCTTTTTTTTCAATTAATGTTGTTTTATATCTTTTCTCTGCTCACTTATTAAAATTTTTGATATGAATTTTTATTCTTCTTGAAATGCTCGTCTTGTCAGTAGTCTGTAAGCTTATGTTTAATGATGATGATATAAGACTAACATATTTGTTTTTCTCTTCACTTATAAAATCTATAAATTGAACCTGAAACTTTAGTTTACTCTATTCAGACAGTACTATACATCTGTATTTGTTGGGAATCCTCCGAGACCCTATTTCCTTGATGTTGATACTGGCAGTGATTTAACATGGATTCAATGTGACGCTCCTTGTGTTAGCTGCACTAAGGTACATATTGGTCAATTTGTTTTTTAAATGGTTAGTGATAGCTTATGTTTCTACTAAACCCAGCCTTTATATGGGTTGTTGGGCCAATGCACCCTTTGAGAACTTGTAATTTTTCAGTAACTGCTACTTTCTTATAGCTTTTTAGTTTGTTTTGAAGAAGAATGGAATCGTAACCTGCATGATTTTTATGTAATTTTCGCAAGTACTGCTGCAAATTCATTAAAAGTGCTTTCAATATAGAAGTTTACATGTTTACCAAGAGGCTTACATGACCTGAATGATATTACTATTATTTAGGGACCTCATCCATGGTACAGACCAGTAAAAAATAAAATAGTTCAACCGGAGGATTATTTATGTCAAGAAATTCAACAAACTCAGAGCCATTGGTCTTGTGATTCATGTCAGCAATGCGACTATGAGGTAGAATATGCAGATCACAGCTCCTCCATGGGAGTTTTAACAAGGGATGAAATGCAGCTAATGATGTCAAATGGTGACAAAGCTAAAGTGAATTTTGTTTTTGGGTAAAAAATTAACTGCAAACAAAATCGTTCATAAATTTGTATCCATTGAGGAATTTAATTTGTATATTTTAAATTAGGTGTGCATACGATCAACGAGGCCGGTTCTTGAATTCTCCGGTGAAAACTGATGGGATCCTTGGACTGAGTAGTGCCAAAGTTAGTCTCAATTCTCAACTGGCAAGTCAAGGGATCACCAATAATGTTGTTGGACATTGTATTAGTGGTGGAACTGAAGGTGGTGGATATATGTTCTTTGGAAATGACTTTGTACCTCGGTGGGGTATGACTTGGGTTCCCACTAAAAATGGTCTCACGTATGATATCCTCCACCAATCATATTAAATTTATGCATCAAGTTACTTCAACAAATGCATACTTAAGTCATTTCTTCATTTTTTTCCCACCTTTGTATACAAGGCTTTATTTTGAAGGCAAATTTTAAATTGAGAAGCTATATAATTTATTTTTTGTTACTGTCTTTTTCGAACTTCTATTACTACTGGATTGATCTGATCGCAAATATTTCCTTGCTTTAATATTTCACTTAATGCTTGTCTGCTTGTCTAGAATATAAATTAAAACTGTTGTCATAAAAGTAATTTTAGCTTGGCATTTCTTTTACTTTGAAAGAATTCGAAAGTGTGCTTTGTTGATTTTCAATGGAAAAAAAATTGAATTCTGAACTTTTTAAAATTTTACAAGAATGTCACGATTATATGAATGCTGAAAGGATGACTCTGTTATGGGACTTCAGAAGGTGGGCATTTAGCATGGAAGCGGTTGGAGAATGGTATGAGAAGGAGGATGGAGGTGTTGGTCGTGTTAGGAAGGAGTTAGACAACAAAATCTGCTGTTGGGCAGAAGATTTACATTGTTTGAAGGCTGCCCGCACTGAAAAACAACAAGAATAATCACAAGAAGGCATGGTACAGATGTTGTGGAGGATCCAAAATTTGTTCTTGAACAAGACACATACAGATCACTTGTAAAATAAATTAGATTCATCATTCCAAGTAGCATAAATTAGAGAATATAATATCCAAAATACTCAAAGCCAAATAAAAGTTCCTAAAACAGCAAAGGGAATACATATAAATAGATCCCTAATAGAAAATAACTCTTAATAGACATAAGTAAATAATAAATAAATAAAATATGTCCAACATCCTTGTAGAAATTGCAGAAAGGGAGAACGATGCTTTCAGTTTTCCCTTGATTGTTGTAGTTCTCGTTTCCGCATAATCGCAAAAATCCCATGATCAGGATTGCGGGATCAATAATCTCATACATCCACAGTCGCCTTAGCATCATTCTGCTCTACTAGGAGAGGCTTCTCTTTCTGGCCTTGTAAGTGTGGGCATCGTCATTCGTTATGAAATCGGGAAATGCGTGCTTGCGGTAGGCCGCAAAATATTACATTGGGATAGCTCGAAGGTTGAAATGGAGGCTTTTATGTTCCTTGGGTCGCTTGTGATGCCGTGATGCTCGAAGTTAACAATGTGATCGTGGAGGGAGATAATTGTAATGCTATGATGCTCTCCGACATTCAGTGGAAATGGTTGTGTGGAACCAACATAGTGGGCGACACTCAGTTATGGCTTTTCTTACTAACTTCCTTCATGTGCTTGGAGCCATGAATGCTTGAAGTTAATGGTACGATCGTGGAGGGCGATAATTGCAATGTTATTGATGCTCTCCGACCATTCAATAGAAAAGGTTGCGTGGAACCAACATAGTGGTTGGCACTCAAATCTGGCTTTTCTAATATCTAAAGATCTTGCAATGGAACAACCCATTTTTGTGCTCATTTTGCTTTACAAGATAATTTTGCTGTTAGAAATTTACAGTATAGTCTTCTTTTGTCGTTTTTTGTTGAAAGGGATGTGAACATTTTTGGGGATTGATAATTAGCAACCTTTTTTGCTTTTTGCTGTGGCTGGCTGGCTCCATTTTGTAATTATTTTGTTTTATATATTAATGCAAAATGCACACCCTTTACAGATAGGCTTCTCCTTTTCTAGAATGACTTGGATCTCACTGTAAGATGTTCTTTATCACAAAACACCTAAAAAGATTTACAGAATTGCTACTCATCATTTCTATCTATCTATCTAGCTGAGATGACATAGCTGAATTAAACTAGAATTTAGTATTCCGTTTGCTTTATATTTTCTTGATCTGGATCGGGACTTGGAATTAACTAAGGAGGGAATGGACAGTTAGACTATGGAATTAAATTTTTTATTATTCTATTTCCATCACTGACAGTTTAATATCCATATATTAATTGAAAAGTGCCACTAAAGAAGCATTTTAATTAACAATTAAATATTTACCTTTCTGATTGTTGAACTCATAGTCTGTACACATTGGTTCCTCTTATATTCATCTTATTCAAAAGTTTAAAACCTGAAAAAAAATTAAAACATTATTATGAGTTATCTAAAGATAACCCAGTGGAGCAATCAACAATAGGAACCAAAAAAAAAATAAGACTATGCTGGTCTTTCATATTTCATTATAGAAGATTTTATAATAATATAATGTACATGTCCATGACATTTATTTAATGGAAATAACTTGAACTTCGATATGCATTAATTTTAGCTTATTTTTGAAAGTTTAATCTTTAACTTGACTTTTACTTCATGTTATTAATATTCACATTTATCTTAGGATTACCGTCAAAACACAACCAAACTCACCTCCCACTGATATTATCTCGTCAACACAGCAGTTCGTGATTTAATTTACATGATCGTTTGATGTAGAAAAGTTTCTACTCGCCCCTGATCGATATTCTCCCATTGACGCAACAGTTAACAATCTTAAACATTACTGTTGTTTAGGGTGGTAGGATAACATCTACGTGCGTGGTTACGTTGGTATCCCCTGCATATGTCATGAGGGGGTGGTCTCCTCTTAACATGTAAACATTCATATATACACTATGTATTCTTCATAACATTTATTCTTTTCATATAAGACCACTTATATTTATTTACCAAAAATATGCAACTTTACTAAAATCTAAAGTTATGCGATAATCTGATAGATCCAAATGTACTAAAATTTTAAAGGTTGAGTAATAGTCTGACCTACACATCTAGAATATAAGAGTCATTCAATAATCTAATATCATTCTAAAATAAAAAAAAAAACTATGTTATTATTAAGATAACAATATTTAACAAACATATTTCATGACTAATAATATGAAAAATCATATATAGTTTAATTTCATTAATATACGACATAATAGTGAAAAACTATAAGCAGGAGTATATTTGAAAACATGAAATATTACTGTAACTTAAAATTATAATTACTTACCTCAAGCCTAAATGATTTTCTTGCTCTTAACTTTTGTCACTTCCTTCAAATTAACACATATAATATATGACATATTCATATTAATAATTTTATCTCAATTACTTAATTATAATTATAATTAAATTTATAATTTTGTTATTTTAATTAAGTGATTAAATCCTTAATTTCTATGTTTAATTGTTGCCGTTAAGATTAATATTAAATAATATTAAGATTTGAAAAATAGAACACTAACTTTACTCTGCTTTCTCTTTTGCACAATTGCCAAACTCTATCTGTTTTAACCTTTAATTCAGCTGTTTGACAATTCATAATCACTAATATTAATTTCTAGAATTTAATATAACTTAATAACATTTAATTAATATGATAAAATAATTTATATAATTAAAACTATAAACTCTACTCATGAATTGATCTTCAATCCCGTACATGAATTTTCTTTTCCTTTTTTCATTTGGCTAGGGCGCGGTTTAGATGAATCAACTTGATTTTGAGGCTCTGTTTCCTCTAGTCGAACTCATAAGCAGAGCTGCTCCTACATCTTCTTTTGCTCGATGTTCTTCTCGTTTGCACCTAATGAAATCATGCCTCTAACATGTGAGAAATAAGCACCTTAATTGCGGGAGCGGCTTGTTATCCTTCTACTCTCGATCTCTCTGATTCTCCTTCTCCTTCTTCTTTTGCTCGACTCTTCTTCCCATTCCTTCAATTAGGGCACACACAACAAGCCTTCCTCTTCTCGTTCACTCCCTTGGATGGAAGGAAACGATGTAAGCATTAAATCCCTTTTCTTAGCTCACTTAGCTTCTCTTTTCTATTAGGACAAAATTTTCTTCCTTTCCCTTTATTGCTTTCGCTTCCTCTATCTCTCTTGCACTCTCGCTGTCTCTCTTCCCATCTCTCTTGCACTCTTGATGTCTCTCTTTCTATCTCTCTTGCATATTCACTGTCTCTCAAAACAGAATATGATTTTTCGAGTGGCGCGTCTCCTTCTAAGGACAATTTTAATTCATTCAGTTATTGTAATTAACATTTAAAGTTCGGTACTACAATCTCCCATTTTCATAAAATTTTGTCCTCAAAATTTATGAACTTCACAGAAGTTAAACAGTATGCATATTTAGCATGATCTCTCCAAAAATCTTCAAGAATGTCTTATTTTTATGGAGTGATAAGCATATGTGTAAATCCAAAATTTGAGATAATATAATTCATCTAAAGAGTCCCCATACATCTGAAACATGACAAATAGAATAATACTCAAATGACATTAAATATATAACACTCATCAAACTCTTCTAGCATATGTATCGGTAGCAACGTGTTCTTCAAGCTCTTTATGAGCCAAGGAAAAGACACTTTGCTAAATATTTTACCTTGTTTGGTCCTCATGAGTCATTATACCAGCTTTTGTCATCTTTTCTTGATTACTTCTAAGAATAAATCCCTCTTGAAAATTCCTCTAAGTTGAATCCAATCGTAAGATAGTATTTGGTGCAGATCTCTGTGCAAAATTATGGCCGTTTCTATTTGATGCCCAAGTCTTCTGTATACTAACACGCCTTCAAACCAAATAAACATTCACATGATATTGCTTTCCACACTTAACACAAGGTTCTATGGTGCTGTTGCCAGTCTGGCTAATAACTCCATCAACATTTGATTTTATCTTCTTCTCATTATACTCTCCAGAAAGAACTGTTGGCGCTTCTTGTTCCAAACTTCCTCTTATGCAAGTTCCACGCTTATGAGTTTGCTGAAAGTTAATTTTTACCCGCCTAGCTCTCTCCAATAGCATTGAATATTCTTCAATCCCAAGTGACATTAATGACTGCCTGATTGGATCCTCAATTCAAAAAGAAACCTGTAGCATTTCTCATCGACATTTGAATTGAGCTATGATGCATACTTCGCAAACATAGTAAATTGCGTTTCATACTGCATAATCGTTCGATCTTCTTGGACTAGTTTGATAAAC